ATGAACGCAGCCTTAGCTTGTGTCTACTATAACAAGCAGTTGCACAGTCAGGTTTCCTTGTTTTTTAGATAAAAAATCCAGATGTCTATTGGTAATATGATGCATCTGGGAGAGTCACTGATGTTTCTATCACAAGGTTTTGATGAAATTCCGTAGGCACCTGCCCTTGAAAATAATGTCATGGAAAATGTTATGAAAAATGTGATGTCACAGTAGGCATTTGGGTTTATTTGTCATCATTTCTAAATCAAAACACTGATTACAATGAGAAAACAAATTTACAATAACCTTTCTATAAACCCTGAGTAAGATAATTATGTTTTATACAGGATATTTTACTACCCCAGTAAATTTTCGTATATTTAATAATACCTACTATGACATCACACTCATAAGCGTACTGGAAGTATAAACCTTGATATCTCCAAGATGCATCACTCAAATCATATAAAAATATTTCACCATTCGACTATTTACTTCATGTAGAATCAATGCTGAAAATATTGAGTTAGGGGTCATAGGCACTTTCACTGGAACACATGAATATTCTGCACAAAATTGAGGCTAACGCTGAGTAACAGAGAACTCCAAGCCGGAGTATTGAGAAGCGCTATGCAGCAAGAGTCCTATACTTTGATATTCAAATTTTTAGCAACTTTTTTTACCTTTAATTTGTATACTTAATAAGTTGAGAGCAAGCACCAGTATTCACTTACTATTGTGTTTTATTTGTCTTCAGACCAAGACTCTTTGTCATTATGTACTAAATTTAGCAAAATATGACCAGAACTATGATGTCAGAGACAGAGCCAGGTTTATCAGACAGTTAATACTCCCTGGAGAATCGGTCAGTATGGATCTACAGCATTCCTATGGTTTAGTTATAACAGCCAGCTTCTTATTTGCTGAGACAATATAATAGTATAATATTTATTTAATAGTCTTTCCTTTTTTTGGTATTCAGTTGAATTGTTGCTCTCATTAGTACTTAAAAGTACTATGATTATACTACAATTTTCCCATGTCTTGTGCCGTTACCATTTTTGAGTGCATTTCCAGAGGAATAATATGCAGTCTGGGAACTTGTTCTGAACTTTTTTTTTTGCTGATGTCAGTGCTAGGAAACTTTTTCTATTCCTTTGTACAGCTCAGTGGGTTTGAGCTTGGACTTTGAAGTTTGCTTGTTTACAATAAAGATGGTTGTTTTATCGGGCTTTCTTACTCATTTTTTCCCCATACCTACTTGCAAGAACGTTGTCATACGATATTAGAACATTAGTGATTTAGTGAAAAAGGAATACATTAGAAGACAAAAGAAAAAGTTCAGCTTCAGTGATCTTCTTTTGTTTTTTAATATAATTCCTATCCCACTAAATCACTAATCATTTTTCGTATGACAATGTTCTTGCAAGTAGGTGTTATACAAAGCTCTATTTTATCCACTTTCATTCATAAAATTATCCGGCTGTAATACACAACTAGTAGTGTAATAACCTCTACATGGAAATGGCAATCAAACATTATTACTTTTGCTTGTTTTCTTGCTTGCTTTCTTGATTGACTGATTGATTGATTAGGTTACCATCTTATTATATGCCGTTCCCACAATTACAGGCAGGACACCTACATAAGCACCTCAAGAAAATATTTTTGGCTTCCAAACCTCCTCCGGTAATAGAATCAGTATTCAAAGGTGAGAGAGATCTTTCGTTCTAATTGAATATGTACACGTGTGGATGACAAATATAATAATGGAGGTTTGTTAGAAATACTGTTGACTTTATTCTTTGTGTAGTTGAATCTAGAGTTCTCTTATCTTGAACCTCCTGGAGCCCAGTAAAATGTTCAAAGGGGGGGTAAAGATATCCAGGTTAAAATTGTAGTGATGCAAATTCATGCAAGTTCGAGATATCTGGTGTCCATAATAGTGAAAGTTACRTCAACTTATCCACTTGCTCTTTCCTTCAGATCGGCAGGGATTCCAGCTGGGTTCTCTGTCACACATAATTAATGCAAAAGCCAATGGTTATCAAGAATTGCCTGACTTCCCTGAAGTTGCACCTGACTCATCTGTCAGAAATGTCGAGGTAAAGCAAAGTACTTGAATGCAGTTATTATTGTTAGACAGTCCCCTTGAAAGGCATTTCTTGGAATCTGGTTTTGTTGAATTCATGTTTTCTTCCCTCTGCAAAACCTATTATAAACATGCTAAATTCAAATTCAAGCTTTGCGTTAGCTGTGACCTGACTTTGATCAGCCAAAAGGTTGTTTCATGGTTTGATCTGTGAATTAGCTGTGACCTGATTTAGATCAGATGAGAGGTTGTTTCAGGTTTTGATCTGTGAGTTAGCTGTGCCCTGACTTTGATCAGCCAAAAGGTTGTTTCAGGGTTTGATCTTGAAGTTAGCTGTGCCCTAACTTTGCTCAGGACGGAAGTTGTTTCAATGTTTGATCTGTGAGTTTTGATGCTTGTTTCAGCGTATCAATAATATTTGAAAAATCTTTGACTTCCAGGTTGAACCAGTTTGGCAGTCAAGTACAAGCAAGAAAAACAGAAAGCAAAGCAAGAAAAAGACGTTCTACTCTGATTCAGAATCAGGTATAGTGACTCATCTTGCACTCCACACTTGCCTCCTAGCAGTAAGCTAATAAGTGCAGAAGTCCCTATTTAAGTAACTTGTATGCTGCCTGAACCTAATAGGGCAGTCTGTGAATTAGTGCAACCTTCCTTGTTCTGGACCCCCTGTGTGGCTTAATTGACTCTCCTCACCCCAATACATAGAGTACTGCTCAATGGACCATTTACAGATTTTTTGTCTTGTCATTGTCTTGTTATAGAATCAGAATCTGGCAGTGAAAGTGAGAGTGAAAGTGGAAGTGGAAGTGAGAGTGAAAGTGAATCAGAAAGTGAAGAAGAAAGTGAAAGTAAATCTGAATCAGAAGAAAGTGGTAAGTCACTATCCCACTTTTCACAATTACTGTGTTATTGTTTTACCTGTGCAATCCTAGTCTGCATCTTTGCACACTTACCCTTCTCTGATTTGGATCATTTAAAAAAACGAAACAATAAAAGTGGGTCTAGTTCTGGACTACCTATCAAGACGTCAGCCAAATCTTTATTGATCTTGATTCTTCGTAAAGGACGAAATGAAGCCACAGAAATCAGCCACATTGGCCTGAGTTCAAAATTGGGGGAAACATGGCAAAGTATTCATAAATTCCAATGTCACAATCAAAATTACATATTACATTTTGAAAATCTTTGGACCTTAATGAACGCATGGGCACTATACATGAAATTAAGGTCAAGGGATTAAAATAAAGGGATTGAAACTGAAGTATTTGTCACAGGTTCTGAATCTGAGGAAAGTGATGCTAAAAAGAGTGAAAGTGAAGAGTCAGACAAGTCTGCTACTGTGTCTGACACAGAGAGTGAAGCGTCATCAGGCAGCGAATATGAAGATGAACTCCCCAAGCCAAAACCTCAAAAGGTAGATGTCAAAGAATTTTAGTTTGTTTTTTCCCTCAAATCCAGGTTGCAAAATTTTTGTACAAGTTCACCCACAGGGAGCCCGGCTTTGGAATCTGTACATGAATAAACAACACAAACAGACCAACTCACCAGGCCGCTATGAAACCATGTGCACCCAAAAACAGCTGTAATGTTGCATYCTTTTGATAAGAATTACCCTACATTTCCACTTTAGAACACACCATCAAAACCTACTAAAGCCAAGGAGACCAAGGCTAAAGAGAGTCCAAAGTCTAATAAAACTCTGGATCAGTTGTTAATATTTGATGACAGTGAGTAGACAATCGTTTGTCCTAGTATTTGTATAGAAGGACTGTGTAAACACATATTTATATCTGAGAAAAAGTTCCAATAGTAGAGAAGCAGGTAGTAGTGAGAATGCTCGCCTCTGCTCTTACTACTACGACAAAGGTTTGATTCCTGGACTCTGCGTCGCATGTGAGTAGTGTTACTTGTTGGTTCTTTCCTGAGCTTCGAGGGTTTTTTCCTGGATTCACTGGTTTTCCCCCTCTGCCAAAATCACCTTCTAGATTCTAATTTGGTTTGTTAGCCACTGTTTATGAAGTTCTACCCTTCAAAACAGTGACCAATTTTTTAGCGGTTAGCCATGTTGTGAAATGACTAAACAATTTTGTTTGCATAAATGATTTGTTATTTTTCCACAGCGAATGTAACTGGTAATGACTCCAAACCTGCAACAGAAACCAATAGTGCTTTTCTGTCACCAACTCTAGCTGCTGATATGGAGTCTCTGTCTGTTGGAAATGATGTCATACCTACTAGCTTATCAACGGTATGCTTTCACATCAGTTTCAAGTTGTTACATATAAAATTGGGTGTTGCTAAAAAAAAATTCAAGGATGTTTTTGTCGTTTTTGCTGCTCTAAGCGTGGGCAATGAAAAAGCTCACCGCACGAACACGGTCATGACGCGGCAAGGCATACGCCAGACCAATCACATTGCGCGATAATTTACTCTTCATCCAATCAAATGCCCGAAACACGGCTCGGAACACGACGCGGACACGGTCACGCCAATGTCACGGCACTGTCCGACCAATCACATTACGCGAAAAAAAATCCCCCATTCAAAAGTCTAGAAAGCATCAAGGTCGCAGCAAGGCACGCATACGGCACCGTCGTTTTCACAGTCATACAAAAACTACTCTATAACGAATATATCAAATATTGTCTCTTTCAGATGACCAATAGCTTTTCCCATTCCAAGTCATACGAACTTCTTCACAGAATGACTGGTAATGGTCTTAGCGCAACCTATCGCTTCACTCGTGGTCCATGTATCTACTCAACCACCATGATAGCCGTGGAATTGACCTTTACAAACTCTAGTGATGCTGCAATCTCTAATATCCACATAGGAGACAAAGTAAGCATATATGTCGCACGAAATAACTGGGTTCTAATTAAAAGCCTTGCTCACGTCATTCCTCCTTCCGCTGGCTCTGTATTTACATTTTCAAACGGAAAATGGAACACTATCTTTGATAATTTGTGCATTTGAGCCATGTTGGTTGAGCTAACAAGAGAAATGGAATGAGAATGGGAAGCATCGGTGGCGTGCGCTGCTAATGCGCTGCCTCTCATCAATGCGGCCCGAGTTCGAGTCCTGCCGATCTCGATGTCGTAAGTGAGTAGAGTTGTTTGTTGATTCTCTTCTGTGCTTCGAGGGTTTTTCTCCGGATTCTCCGGTTTTCCTCTCTCCTCAAAAATCAACTCCTAAATTCTAATACGATCTTTGGGCTTTTACCTAGTTTGGAGCCTAGCTCTGTTGTGATTGTATCACGCTGTGATACAACAGCGAAAGCTTTGTAGATTTTGTAGAAGCTAATGAGGAATGCTGTGTTATTATATGGCGGCCATGACGTAGCGTGCACCCCAAGGATAACTTCTCTATAAAACTGAAAGCCTCATCTGTTGTCAAGCAAAGTAGACTGGTCATTGGGACATGCAATCTACAAAACTTAGTCAGGGGATCTGCTTTTACGAAGTGGAAATCCTGTTATTACTGTAATTAGTTGATTTTCTTTTTGTTATTCTTTTCTTCAGAAACTAGGAGCAGGTTTAAAATTACAAGAATTTCAAGAAATTGGTAAGAAAATGAAATCTTCAATATCAAAGTTTTAGGTACTTTAAGTATCTTTAGTTCTTGGGACGCAGCCACAGCACTCAAAATCCCTTGAGATATAAATGACAATGAAACAGCCGCCATCTTGGTTGATCTAACAAGAAAAGCGAATGAGGAATGCTTTGTTATCGTCAACCAACATGGCGGCACCCCAACAAAGTTGCTTAAAATCCGTTGTGTTTCTTCAGGTACTCTTGATCGGGGAGCTTCTATTTCAGTGTCAATAGGAATAGACTTTAACGACACAACACAACCAGCCACATTTACCATCAGGTAAACTCAGTTTTCGTTTACTTCCTGTGCCGTCTAGAAAAAAATAGCAATGCAATAGAGGGGGCGCATGCAAAAATTGTATCAAATGGGGTGACCCAGAAATAACAAGTCCCTCCCCCCCACCTCTCTAATGACTTGCAAAATGAACCAAGCGCGATGACGTGTTATACCAACACGTTTGTTGTTATGCGTATTTCAGCTATTATCTTGGTAATCTCTTTTGGAATATAAAAAGATATTTTGAAAAGGATTGTGGCAGTTTAGGTATGAAACGTCATTAGGGTTAGGGTCTGCACTGAAACTGTACGCCTGTAGAAAGAAAAGCTTCAACTGGAACAGCCCTCTGTGTATGATGGTTTTTAACTCTTGATACAAATATATTTCGTTGTAGCACGCCAACACGTCAATTCCCGGTCACCATTAAAGCACCAGTGGGTGAGTTACTGGGCGGATCTCCTATGGCAGCCAAGGAGTTCCTTGCAAAACAATGTAAGTCATTAGAAGTTTCATACATTTTTCACCAAGTGTATCTAGTTGGGATTTAGGACATTCTCGTACCCAGACTCTTCTGAGCTTTCTAAAGAAAAATCGAAGGTACCTTGCATTAGACTTCAGGTCCCGTTTCGCACCCTCGTTAGCTTTCTAACAAAAAAATCGAAAATCTCGTTGGAAAATTGATAGAAGTGTTTTGGAAAGAGTGTGGTATTTAGCACTCTTATGCTCAGGTCAAACGTCGAACTTCACATGAGCCGAACCTAATGACATCAAAGAAGACCACCTTGTTGTCCATTGTTTCACAATTAGGTTCGACTTAAGTGAAGTTCGACGTTTGACCTGAGCCTTAGTCAATTGGTTATAGATTATAATCATAAAGAGAAATAGTTTGGGCGGGGATCGCTCCACTGTTTTCCCATTTCAGACCACGTGTCATTCTCCAGAGTATTAATCTTTAACGGTTGCGCATAAGAAGACACATAAATATTGATGCGACTCAAACAAAGAATCTTATTCTCAAGAGACTGACACGTGTTCTGAAATGGGCAAAACATTGCGCCCAAGTAGAATTGGTCTATAGACCTCCTCGGCTCGAGCGTAAGTTTTTCTCATTTTAGACCATGTGTCATTCCCTACAGAATAAGATCCTTTGTTTGAGTTGTAACCATGTGCCTTCCCATGTGCAACCGAGCGCAATCATTAAATACAAAATGACACATGGTCTGAAATGGGAAAGCATTACGCCCGATTTGAGGAGGTCTATTTTAAACATCCCAAAATCACTTTCGTCTAATTAGGGGCCCTTTTTTACCGCATAGTTGATTTAACCTCCTACTTATTTTTTTTACAGCAAAACTAAGAGGGATGAATGAAACTTCGTTAAAACTCGACCTCCCATCAGATCGGTGCACACGAGAAGAGGTTTGTTCTCGCGTGAAAGAAGCAGCTTGCGTGACGCCTGTCGACCTGGACGATGAGAAAACATTTGGATTTGCTGGCAAAACAATTTGTTCTGGTACACCAGTCTTGGTCACGGTCAAAGTTGGTGAGGGTGGAAAAGGGAGCTCTGTGACAGTTAACTGCGAAAAAATGGTCATCAACTCGATGCTTGTCAAAGAAATCAAGACATCATTGCTACAGTAAAACACTAGATTAATTAAAGATATATGTATCTCATATTAATACCTTAACAATTTTCCTATGACACAAATTATGATACGCGTCAAATGAAATTATAGTGCGTGACGTAACTTACATGTCACGGCTTCGAAGTTTTATACATCATTGCGTGATGTAAAATCCGTAAAATAGCCTTTAATAGTATTGCTGGGTTTCACTTGATGTCATTCCTTGTCTCGTGCAGAATGTTTATCAACTGTACCAAAAGCTTTCAATAGAATTCTTTCTGGCTGACGGCACATTGGAACAGATAATGAGATTCAAAGACTTTCATCAGCTGATTGAAACCCAGCAATTCGAAATAGATGTTATGTTCGTACGTCCATATTGATTTTTGTTTGAATGGTTTTGATGACTTCACCATTCATCTGATCTCAGATATCGTTTAAGTACTGTACGTCCATGATTTGGCAAAAATTACCTCTGAAATCTGAGGTTTTGGCGAGAGAAAGAGTGCAGAGAGCAAGGTAGGGAGATCAAAAATGTACAAGACAACTTTTTTTGTTGAAAAAAACTAGGGAAGATTTATACGTAAATTTGTAGGTTTGTGATAACGAAGGTATGTTTTGGGGGGAGTCTTTCTAGGGTCCTTAGTATCGAATGTATCGATGACAAAATGTTCGAGACAGTAATCTATGGTCTGATTTCACATGACCAAATTAGGAGAAGAATTTCCCATACTGTAGTGCATTATGGGATCCCTCAAAAAATTAGGAAAATTTACCCATAATGCCCTGCTTGATATTAGAGTGAAAGCATTTAACCCGTGAAATAAAAATTATTAGTCAACGTGTAATAGTCAAATAGACACAAATGAAAACAATATAATTAGGATCTATTAATGTGTATTAGTCCAATATCTATTTCACGGGTGTATTGACTTCACTCTACGTAACGTTTCTTGTGCAAAAGATAAAAGTTATTTTGGTTATAGCTAGCGCCTTCCAAGTATTCGTAGAATTTTTAAAATTTACATTACAAAAGAAAACGTCGAGTGTTTTCAATAACCATGACGAGAAAATATTGGATTGATATTGCAATCAACACTTAGAAAGTTACAACTGATTTTAAAATTCTGATGTGCGGTTGGTTTTAATTGCTAACTTCTTATCCTTTTCGCTTTCATAAGCCATTTATTTAGTGCCTAGATAAACTGATTTGACGTTTTGAATCTTTCAATATTGTAAAGACATGAAATGGAACTAGTCAGACAAAGGAAATGATTCTATAAATTGTACTGAATTAAAGTTGGCATGAAATAAAAGAGAAGAGGTTTCTAGTTCGTGTAGCATTTGTTACTCGTAGTATTTCCTTAAAGTGCTTATAAGCCTTTGCACAATATTTTCAGAATTGATACTTTAGATAGTGGGTAGTTGATTGTGAAAATATTTCGTCATTTGAATGTCGGGTTGTACGTCATAGTCATTAACATATTGGAAATATAAACCTTCGTATCTCAAAGACCTGACGTTCAAATGACGAATTATTTTCACAATCAACTATTCACTATTTAAAAAATCAACTCTGAAAATATTGTGTAAAGGCTTATAAGCACTTTAAAAAAACACCAAGGCTTTTGAAATTCCCATTGTGAAAAGTTATTATTATTATTATAGTATTAATTTTATATTGTTTTTAATGAGACATCGGAATGTGGTGAGGTATTTCCGGACACCCTGAAATAGACCCTTTGCCAAAATAGCGGCCGCAAATTCGAATGATTTAACATTAAACTGAGTGAAAAACCAATATACCAGCACTTGAAAGAGTACCATTACTTTAGCAAGCCTACGAAGATTCATTATGTCAGGTGTTAAGAAAACTTGATTTGAAAATAAACAAATTTACAGACGTTTGTGTATCTGGGGGCGTAGCATATAATTGCGCAAGCGCGCAATAATACGCTATAGCTCAGCCCGCAAATCAAACATGACTAAGCCGGAGTGTACTTCATGCCTTTTGTGGTTAATTCCTGCAGTTCTTTTACTCGTATACATTGTGGTGAGAAAATGTCTAAGTTTTCAAAAGGTTAAAAATATTAGCAAAAAGTTTGTGCTAATAACAGGTTGTGACAAAGGATTTGGCAGGCTCGCCGCCATCGAGCTAGATTTGCTGGGGTTCCAGATCATTGCTACATGTCTGACCACACAAGGCAAAGATGACTTAGAACGAGTATGCAGTCAGAGGACGAAGGTTTTTCTACTGGACGTGACTAAAACTAAGCAAATAAAAGAGGTTTATAGTGAGGTCAATCGTTTTATACCCAAGGATGTTGGTAAGAATATATTTTTAAGAATTTATCACTATACTCAGAGATACACCAAAGAGCTACGAAGTTGACACCGACAAAGACCATGGGAAAATATTTGTTTTGATGCTCAAAGCGGGACTAACAGAATGCGAAACTGACTCTTTACGAGCTATTATCGTCGTAGCTATTCGTTATACGTGCCGTCATTGTTGACTGGACGTCAGTGCACATCACATACAGACACGTTTCTTCATGCGTTTCAGTAGTCCTTTGAAGACGTTATTTGTGTCGGTCTCTTATCCCTCCCCCACAGGGATTAAAGACCGACACAAATAAAGTCTGCAAAGGAGGCTAGCGTTTCAGCCGTTATGATACAAAAATTATTTTGTGCGCCATATCGGTTCTCAGACCGTACGCCAGTTACGGGCGGAACAACAACTGATAAGACAACTTTATTTGCTTATGCTATTATAAGTTTACATACACTCAATTGAAGAATCGTTGTCAGGTTCAGAAACATAGAACATAAAAGCTGAGACTGAAATGGCACATGGGAAATGACAATTATATTATAATTTATTCATTTGCGCCATCCATGCAGTCGGTTTATAATGCCAAACGCGTATTAAAAACAGTGGATGATGCCACGGGTCGCCGGTCACAGCATGCATCTAATTAACGTACTTCCCATGTGCCATTTCGGTCTCAGCTTCTATGTTCTATGCTTCTGAACCCGACAACGATTCTTCAATTAAGTGTATACATGAGCTAGTATAACTAGCTATATATTTATGATAGTTTAAATACAGTTGTCATTCAAAAATATATGCTTTATAATCACTAAGCTATGATTGGCTATGTGGAATGAGTTGATCAATGATTCCTAACTATATCCGATCGATATTCAATATTCGAGCTTAAGTCTTCCAGTAAATTTGAAGGATTAAACAGAACTAGAACTACATCTATAATACGTACAAATAAATAACGTAAATGTATTGTAGTCATTATAGGTCATATTGCATTTCCCTATTCTAAAACAGGATATAAAATTTAAGAAAATTAGCAAAGGGGATATTGAAGCACCAGGGTGTGTCCTAGAGGTTTGCCGCATCAAGGGGAGGAGCACTTTAAATACCTTCCTCAATATACAAGAAAAGTCCATGTTCAGAAATCTGTACGCTAACAAAAGAGGCTTTACACCATCATGTGATGGCAGCCATGTTGGATGAGAGGAACGATACAATCGTTTTACATAACAAAGAATTTAATTCCCGAGAGCAAAGGGATTTTATTGTTCTGCCATCTAACCACAGGCAGTCCAAGCTGTATTATGGGCATTGGGACGTGAAAGTGCAAAACCTCTATCTCGACCTATAATGCTATCTTGGGTTCTCAATAAGAAGCGATAAAGAGTAATTTTGATGGTACGTGGTACTGATCTGATTATTCAATTCTCTCTAGGGTTGTGGGCTTTGATCAACAATGCAGGTATATTCATACCAGGACCTGTTGAATGGCAACCGCTGGATGCGTTCAAACGCACTGCAGACGTGAATCTTTGGGGAGTGATTGACATGACTAAAACGTTTCTACCGCTGGTTAGGAAGGCCCAGGGGCGCATTGTCAATCTTTCTAGCATCGCAGGTAATATAAAAGACGTGTTTATTTTCGAGTATAATGCAGCACACTTGTAGCTAGCATGCACTGCATGATTTAGAACAATGCGTCTGGTTAATCAGACTGTTTGACGTTTTTGTTGTTCTTGAAGTAATTCATAAGCCAGCGTAGCCAATCAGTCAATTAAAATATCCCCCAACTCCCTTTCTCCTAGACATCTTGGATGGGTAAAACCCATTGACATTTCTCCCCATTGATTCTCCGATAATAACTCCCAAAGCTCCCCGCCTCCCTCCTCCTCAACCCCCCTTCCTCCCCGCGCGCTATTGGCGAGAGTTTAAACAGAATCAAGAGACACATGGTCCAAAGGAGACACTCACGCTCCGTGTTCATCCCTTGTTTATCTTTAAAATATGAGCGATGCTTTGTTTCAGGGAGAATGCCCTTTACATACATGTCTGCTTATTGCATAACCAAGTTTGGAGTCGAGACATTTTCGGACGTTCTAAGAAGAGAGGTGAAACCATTTGGGGTTAAAGTGATACTCATTGAACCATCAGGGTATAAAACACCCCTAATGAATGAAGAATACATGAAGATCAGCTGGAATAAAGAGTGGGAAGATTTGAGTGACGAGGCAAAGGACGTTTACGATGACGAATACAGAGGAAAAGGTAATGATGAATTAAGATGATCTGCCCTAGCTTTATGGCTCCCCGACTAGATTGGCATCGATAGACGGCACAGAGCAAAGCTATATAAGTCTGTACTTACGGTCTCTCGAGCTCTCAAATAAAAAGCATATCAAAAATTATGGGATATCATCCCTTATATTTTTTTCGAGTTTTCTATCACTTGGGCTTTCCGAAAAAAAAATATCAAGAAAGATATCTTGCCGTGTCTGATATACTTTTGATATACTTGTACATATATATGGAAGCGGCCATAATTTTTGCAAATGGCTGTATATATATATATATATAT